CAGCTGCATCGGTGGCAAAGTATCTCCTGATGCAGATCTAGAGCTACATGAGCAGAAATCAGAGGCTGGAAGCAACCAAGAAGGGAGGGAAGAGCAGCTTCTGGAGCCCAGAGATGCTGCCCTGGCCAGCCCCTCTTTGGGGAAAGGGCCCTGTGAGCTCTCACTGTTCCTGCAGACCAAGGGGAAGGTGAGGCTGACAGCAGGAGGGGAGAGAATACTTGCTCTGCTCTAGAGAGTTCCTAAATTCCTAGAAACTCTTCATGGAGGGTCCCTACAGCTACGAGGGACTCTAAACTCTAACCAGGCCCTCAGACTCTGGGAGTAAGAGGAGCAAAAGCTTAGAAAGTGGGGTTATTAGATTAATGTTAGCTANAGCTTAGAAAGTGGGGTTGTTAGATTAATGTTAGCTATTGATTTTAGAATTAAGCATTTTCCAGCAAATGGCTTAAGAACTGTGCTTTACCCAATATAGACAGTGTAGCCTACGATGAAATCCTTTACAAATTCATTTTAATAGCTTTCGTTTATAATTAAAATTTANCCAATATAGACAGTGTAGCCTACAATGAAATCCTTTACAAATTCATTTTAATAGCTTTCGTTTATAATTAAAATTTAGATGGAATTCATGTATTGACAAAAGTAGTTTTTAAAAGGATAAGATTGTAGAATATTTCTCTTTGAATACAATTTAACCTTAGGTATAAGGAAAAAGTAATCGCAGCCTTAAAACAATACCTTTTAACTAAATACTATTTTTCACATTCATCTAATGCAGTCCATACACCTGAAGTCTGTTTAGTGTAACAGGAGATTTTTCAAACCAGTTTAGAAACAGGAGGGTGTTTCTAAGATTATCTGCCCCCCCGGGTATTAAAAAGTCTGGGCACTTGATTACGCTGCATACTTGCTGCTGAGTAATGATAAGTCGTCTGGAGCCAATTATTGCCTCCTCTTTACTTAAGTGATCCTCAATCTCATTTAGAAGATCATCAGACTGATTCTTAGAAAGTGTGATGATCTGAAGTAGTACTTCCAAGGAACATGATAGATTTTCCAACTTGAGAGGGCTTCCTTGTGATACAATGGTCAAGAAATAAAGCTTCAGGAAAGACTCCTCATGGAAGTAGCTTAGAATATGAGTAGTTGTCTCTCAACTACAACCCTCAGTGATCAAAAAAATAAGCAAGATTTCCCAAGTACCCTCCTGTGTGGGGTACACACTAAAGGGAACGATAGTCATGCATACTTAGATGAGAATTTATATTTATTGATCACCTGGTCCACTTCACGCTGACGGAGTACAACTGTGTGATTTAATCTTGCAGCAGTCTTATGAGGTGATTGTAAAAAATCTGAATTGATAGGTGAGGAAGTTGACATCAAAGAGCTCACAAAGCAAAGCTGGGATCTCAATCCAAGTGCATATAATGTCAAGACTTGTTCTCTGAAAAAATCCTATACATGGGATTTCATGATTCTGTAGAATGTACTAACTCATCACAGCATCACCAAAAAGTAGGATGTTCTACAGAATGTGAGGTATTCAATATAGTTGAATCTTACTGCCAATGCTGGCTGGTTTGGCATTTAACTCTGATTTCAAGTGGGAAGCCAGAAATTATGTTTGTGGAAATTATGTGTTAATATCTTTCTGAGTAAAATGAATTCCGTAAATTTTATTTACTTTTATTTCTATCTTAGTCCTGGACAGTTGAGGACACTGGATAAGTTTCAAACTATTATGTAATTGGCTGAGGAATTTTTTTTAGAAAGAAGAGAGTGGCTTCTATGAGTAGAATTAGCTCCATGATTCGTAGAGACTGCTTGAACCAGAGCGGAGATGAGAGTATTCCAAATCCCTTCCTGGTCCAATAAGTTTTTTGTTCACAAAGAACCTGAAATTGCAAATGCGCAAGTTGGGAGAAGGGCGCACAAAAACACTAAATGAAATGGGCAAGGGCATGGGAAGCTAACTGGCAATGTTTGATTCTCCATGTATTTCCACTGCTCATGATGTTACGCCCCTAATCATCTTCCGAGGGCCTTAGCAGCAAACACCATCAATGCTCAGGAAACTATGCAGCGCTGCTGAAGCCAGGCACAGCGCTTGGCTCAGTGGCCTCCCAAAGCAACATTCTAGACGCTGGCAACAGTAGTATTTCCTCTTGCTTATTCTAAATTTACCTCCTGTTAACATCATGGCACATCTCTGTCCCATTGTCAAGCAGAAAGAGGATACTCAGATTTCAGAAAAAGAATTTTGACCATTTAAATCAACATGTTCTAGAATTTTCTCTTTTCTTTATGAGGGCACCTTGGAGCTTTAAGCTCTTATTTATTTATTTATTTATTTATTTATTTTTAATATATCTTTATAGATTTCAGAGAGAGGAAGGGAGAGAGAGAGAGAAACACCAATGATGAGAGAGTTGTCATTGATTGGCTGCCTCCTGCACACCCCCAACTAGGAATCGAGCCCACAACCTGGGCATGTGCCCCAACTGGGAATCGAACCTTAACCTCCTGGATCCTAGGTGGGCGCTCAACCACTGAGCCACACGTGGCTGGGCTAAGGTCTCTTTTAGTAATTACTGTTCTCTAGTACCATTTGACTGCTGGGCTTACTACCACCTGTATTACAACTGGCACACTACAATTTTAGGAAGTACAGCAAATTTAGATGAAGACCATGAGACTAGCTGACATCATGAAGCTCTTAAAGAAAGGGCTGATGTGTGTTTATCTTGCTGTGCCCACAGTGTCAAGCACCACATCTCCCTCATGGTAGGGCAAGGGGGGAGCTGAAATAATACATATCTACAGTGCCAGGCTCTACATATATTCCACTGCCCCTCTCTACCATTATTCAATATTAATATCCCCATTTCTTTGATGGGGAAACCAAATGAGTTGCCTATAATCATGCAGCTGGGAAACAGCAGAGCTGAGAGTTGAATTCATGTCGGCCTGACTTTTAATTTCACCATGTGATTCCCCAACCACACTTAGTACCTGATACATTATTTGTGAGATGTCATCTTCATAGGGTTATTACCTCTCTAGTTCCATCCAGCTTCCAGAGGGACAAGCTGACAGCCCACTAAGGCAGTAATTCACAGATGGCCTAATGGCCAGTTGGAATGCCAATTGTTACGGTCAATCACACAATCAGTGTGTAATCAAGAGGCGAAAATGAAGGTGCATACAGCACTCAGTCTCGGGGACTGAGTCTCTACTTTCATTTCATTATCACTGTAGTAAAACAGTACATACAGGCAGCAGGTAGGACAGCAGTGTGAGAAGATGAGAATCTGTGGATTTGTTTACGGCTAAAATGGCCAACAAAGGCAGCTTTGCCTGAGTCGCATTTTTAACATTTGCCCTTATTTTCATTATAATCATGTTTGTAACATTTTTACAATTTTAATGGTATATGTGTTTGAAGAATTTTAGAACACTAGAGAAATGTTCAATGTCAAATAAGTCTTCCAACAGAGAAGTACTAGGGCTCGGCTTGAACATTCTCAGAATCAGGGAATTCACTATTTATAAGACAATAAATTCTTACTTTTACATGGACCAGGAGTCTGCATTCCTACATTCCTACAGCTAGCTTGGAATTATTCTATAAGAACATCTGAAAGAACTGTGTGGCAACATACATTCCCAAACTAGTTCTTCCGACACGAGAAAAGTCTTCGATGTCTATCAGCATTTCTAGGTAAGAGATCTGGCCACACATGCTAGTATATTTGCATCACTAAACATATGCACACAATTTTGTACTTTTTCATACTGTTTCAGTTTTTAAAATCTAAAACAAATATGCATTTCATAAAAAATCGTTTAATCTTTTTAAAAATTATCACTTAATTAACATGGGGACCAGTCAGATTAGAATAATTTAAGTTCTTACTTCTCCCAGCACATAAGACAAATGAGGTGCTCCTACAAGGGTTTCATTTAGGCCTGAATATTCCCTCCAGTGACGGCAACCCCTGATTTCAGTGTCACTTCTTATCCCCCCAGGCCCAGTCCACCACAAGAGGACCATTCTCCATCTTACCTGTGTGAAAGAGTCCCTTGGAGTGCTGTTTCAAAGGTGCTGGTGAGTAGTTAAAGGGCCACAAAATCCCATAGCTGTTTGCCCAGTGATATGTATCCGGGCTTCTCGCACACAAATCTTAATCGTCTTCTCTCTCAGAAACCTCAACTATTACTGCTAATTTAACACAGTTGTTCTGGGAGCTTAGAAATCATCTGTCTTAACTCCAAATTCTATAGACCTATTTAATTTATAGTTACACCTCTACTTAGTGGGAGGGGAGAGATGGAGCCGGATCTTCTGACTCTTTCCAGAATGGTAGTTTCTTTAGTATGACTGTTACTGCCATTTTTAGGTTTCACTATCTAGTACTTGACATCACCCATCATTAAGCAAAAAGTCTTCAAAGAAAATTTCAAATGGCCTTTTACTCTGACTCTTCATTGTAGGGAAGGAAACAATGCTTCATAAGAGTTTAACATATTACATAGTGATTGCGAAACTATTTGTGAGACACCCTGCTAGGTATTCTGGAATACGTGAAGATGAGGAACACAGTTCTTGCCATACTGGAGCTTACCACTTAGAAGCTGTTAATCACTCAGACCAGGATAAATGCGACATTTCACAGAATGAGCAACAGTAGTATAGTAAGTCATCTTATTCTACAACACTTTGAAGAGCTTCATAATTAGCTCTACCTAAAGTTGAAACTCCATTGATGTTAACTGGCATAGTGAAAATAGCACATGGGAAAAAATATCTGTTTGCTAAATTAATATGCTTATAACTGATACTGTTTGGAGGTCATGGTTGTTTGATATGAATAGAAGGAAATCACTTATAGCTGCTGTTATTATGATAAAACAAAATTATCTAAAGACTCCTATCCTTTTATAGCGAGTTCTTAAGCACATTTATTCATTATAACATACAGGAGAGGTTTCCTTACTTGTGGCCCCACCGTTCATTTCTTCAAGTTCGCTGTTAATTCCAACATCTATGGAACTCATTATTTTGTCAATCTGCAAGAAACAAAAACCATGTAACTGAATTATTACCTTCACCTCGAGCACTGCATTTTTAAAAACCTTCAAATGCCAGAAACATATACAGCGTGAGGCAAACATAGGTTGACAGCTGTGAGTATGCGAAACAGAGTTTATTCTTGTATTATTATTTATTAATTATTGTATTATTTTCCATATGAACTACTGTAAACTCACTTTTGCCCCACCCTGTGTTCTTGATATTATTACCACTGCAATACCACAATTAAGAGATTAACAGAGAAAGGTTTAAAGGGAAGCAGGCATCTTGTGAATTGCTTTTAAAAACATAAATTATATTTCCCTTTCTTAAGCTTTCAGTGTCAACTTGACTTTTATTTATATTTCCTAAAATGAACTTGGTATAAACCTACATGGGTCAGCAAGTTATGGAACTGTGCATTCTTTAAAGTCAGGAGGGGAAGGGCTGAGAATAAGTTCACGTGAGGATCTCTCTCCCCTGGGGCACGTGTCTCATCTGACTGATGAAGGGGCGGGTTTCAATTTGTAGGCACATCCCTGGGAGCCAAGTTCTTGCTAAATGGTCTGACCAGCCACTAGGTGATCTGTGGCATGTAATCACAAGAATTAATCCATGCAAACAACTTAATTCTAAGAGATAAGTTAAATGTTCATTGATCCTGCCTTGTTCCAAAAAGAATTTCAGATGTTATTCACAGAGTTAATAAATATAAGTAATGGATAGGCCTGAACAAACGACTGGTCTAGTAGAATGGAATCCATAGGGACAAACGGCTGCCTAAGCTTTAGCCGTTTATGGTTCAACCCCCTCCTCATCACCCTAGCATCCCTGGTAAGACAGCAGGTTCTAGAAAGGACAGTCAGCATTACTTAAAGGTCTCATTTTGTTCAGCCTGAAACAGATGCAGGGAGATCAAGTGATCCTCCCTCCCCAAAAAAACAGCTCAGTTGAGAATGTCAATATCAGAACCATTTCCATTTCTGGTTCTCAGAATACGAAGGTGACCTACTGTGTTTCAAAGCCCAATTCAACTGGCACAGTCTTGTGAGAGACAAAATGTAATATGTTAGAATAAAATGTCAAGGGAGGCTGTGGTCCATGCTTTGAAGAAATTCAAGAAAAAGCAAGAAACACAATCTCATGATGCAGTCCTCCTTACGGGCAAAGGGTGATATTTCAAAATCTTACAAGGGCCCTTGCATTCCGAGGAATTCTAGGGCATTAAAGGCTCTGTCTTTAGGCAGAGCTTAAATTACGGATACTCGACTTAAACATATTTTTTCTTTACTGTCTCTCTGACAGTTATAAAAGGGAAATATTAAGTAATTTGTAAGATTATAAGGAGGTCCCCTGAAAACCTAATATACTTTAAAGAAGGGAGACGAGCTAACAAAGAGCTTAGCAAGTAGCAAAATGATATAGGGCAGCGAAAGCACACGGATTTTTCTCAGTTCGTCAGCTGCAGCGCTTGAGAGGACAGACTGTGAGCACTCTCTTGCACCTCCTAGCTGGCTATTGCTTCGGCTTGATGTCAACTTCTGCGGAAACAACAGATGTCCCCACATGTGCGGCGCTGTGTATGTTTTCAAGCTCGCCGTGGAAGTGCCACGCACTGTCCCTAGGACCCCTTCCTTCCACCTGGAGCTATACGCGGTCATGAATTCTTTCTCCTTTCTGTCTCTGAAAGGCTTAAACACTGGAAGCCCTGCCCCCAGGCCTTCCTGGACCCCGGGCCCTACATAAGGAACCAGGCTTACCTCCTCCCACTCAGAGGTGAAGGACGGTGTCCTCTCGGAATTCCCTTTGGAGCCGCGCTCGGCAGCTGAAGCTTCGCTCCAGTTCACTCTCGACGTTTTCTCATTCGAAGGGTAGGCAATGAGGTCAGAGTCTGACTTAGACACATTTTTTGATAAATGCATGTCAATCAGGGCTTTGGGCAATGAGCGTATTCGTCCCAGGGTGCAGGCTCGCTCCACGAATCCTCCCGTGTTCACAACCCACTGGTCCCCATTCCGGGATCCACTCCCACTTGTTCTTGAACCAACAATGGTATGGTTTTCGACTGGGTTGGGTTTTTTGTAAAAAATGGTCCTACTGACCACTTTGGGTTTCACTTTCTTGCCCGGAGGCTCCGGGGGATTTTCTATCGGGGACTGCTTGAAAGGCAAGGGGCTGCTGGCCAGGCTGGCTGCCTCCCGCCCTCCGCGCTCCTCTCTTTTCCCGTAGAGATGAAACGGATTTTCAGGGGACTCGCAGGCTGGAGAGGATCCATGGAGAAGGCCTGCAAATTGCCCGGGGTCATATTCTTTGGGGGGATCATTGTCCTCCTGTTGAGAGAGGTCATCTGCAAAAGAAAAGAAAGATGTCAGGAGGCTTGTTTATAAAGGACTCCAAAAGCCCTGATACAACAGCGGTGTCCTTTTGAACTTGGGCTATATCCAGACACTTGATTTACTGCTCCAGGATGGTATCCTCACTTTGTGAAATACTTGTGACTCTGTAGTGCTGCCTACAAAATAAATGTGTGTGTGTGTGTGTGTGTGTGTGTGTGTGTGTGTACCAAATCCTCCTGACAGATACCTTAGGGGGCATTTCAAAGGTATGAATTAGGTATTAATTGAGTAATTGCATACCCCTCTCCCTTGTCCCCAGTGTGTATGTTTTATATTAAATAACAAAATTGGGTTTTCTTAGCATGAAACCCACATCCAAACCCTGGCAATAAATGAGTCACTGTTCAGGTGGACATCAGGCAAGTAAATCAAGGTCATGCACAATGACATCGCTCTGGCCTTCCCCCAGCAAATAAATCCAGAAACAAAATCTTGAAAAGAAGTATTATTAGGCCCTGGCTGGTGTGGTTTAGTGGTTAGAGCATTGGCCTACGCACCAAAGGGTCGTGGGTATGATTTCTGGTCAAGGGCATNCCTGATGTCAAGTAAATCAAGGTCATGCACAATGACATCGCTCTGGCCTTCCCCCAGCAAATAAATCCAGAAACAAAATCTTGAAAAGAAGTATTATTAGGCCCTGGCTGGTGTGGTTTAGTGGTTAGAGCATTGGCCTACGCACCAAAGGGTCGTGGGTATGATTTCTGGTCAAGGGCATGTACTGGGGTTGCAGGTTTGATCTCTGGCTCCAGTCGGGGTGCATACAGGAAGCAACCAATCAATGTGTCTCACATCAATGTTTCTCTCCTTCACTCTCTCCCCCTCCCTCACTCCCTCGCTTCCACTCTCTAAAAAATAAAATCTACGGAAAAAATATCCTTGGTGAGAATTAACAAAACAACCACAAAAAAAGAAGTATTATTAGAAGTAATTTAAGGTTAATAATCCTAATAGTGTTACTTTAAGTATAAAATTAAGAATAATTCTACACAGATTATATAATTTAGAAAAAAGGACTTGTTCAGGCTTAACATAGGTAAACAATGTGATCCAATATCACTAAAAAGACTCTTTTACAAGAAACTAATGCTGAGCTATTAACACAAAGCTCTCGTTTTCTTTTTTCTCTAAAATAACATTAATTATCTTTGAATTTCTTTAGGTCTTTGAAATGTAATGCATAAAAGAAACCAAAGAATGCAAATTTTTATCGCTTTACATTTTTTCTAAGAGAAATCATAAATGTTCTCTGAAATTTAAAATATACCATGCTTTTTTTATGACCTAATTTGTGTTTTAAAGATACTGTGTTAAAATCTTGGCCAAAGAACTTAGCAAAGGAAGTCAGTTAACTTTTTTGACTGGCCATTTTAATTCATATAGCTAAATATTTGCTACAAAATTACCCAAGAAGCCCATAACCCAATCTTGTGAATAAAGTACTGTACAGCCAATGTGGTAGCTAATAACCACAAATCCAAAGCTGACTTGCTGACTCACACTTTAAAGAAGTTAGTTGTTATTACAAACTCCAAACACCAACATTTTTATAAATTAACAAGTAACATTGAATAGGTACATACTATTTATTAGGTACTTAATTAGGGATTATATTTACAGCATCTCCTTTGATCTCATCATAATTCCGTGAAATGATTAATAATCATCATGCTTTTCTGACAGAAAGAGATATGGTGAGAACATTGAATTCAAGTGTTTAAACAAATCGGCAAACACAACAGACATGTGCCCAGAGGATGCTACAGGCAAATTGACTTTGTTCATTGAAGTTGGGTCCCAGGTCCCTATACTGTTCTCACTCTTGACAGAAGCATATCTCCAGATCTCACCCTGGTTCCTATTTGGCTTTTCCAAACAGAAGAGATCCCCTGAGCAAATCTATCACAATGATACCCTGAGATGGAACAAGGAAAGTGACAGGAAGAAGGGTCCAAGGGAAGAAAACAATCTAAAAGAGAAACAATTTGTACCCATACAGTACTATTACAATCACTTCGTCTTCCCATAAAAACTCTGTCCCTATCTAGTGTAGCAACACCGTGTCCTTGAGAAAACCCCATTATGTCTTCCCCCTGCAACAGGGACCCTTCTCAACGCAGAAGAGTGGGTGGGGAGCAAGGCAGCTTTGAACTCTCTCTAAAGGTGAGTGTTCATGGCCTATTCCACACATTCTGTTAGAAGTCAAAATTAACACTTAGACAACTTAAATTGCTGCAGCTTCCCGAGCCAGGAAGTTAAGCTGAGATTCAAACTAGGGTCTACCAGGTTCCCACACAGAACTGTCCTGGAAAATGTTTCATTATGAAGAACAAATAATTTGGGTTCAAGGCCAAGCAAGCAGGCTCTTCACGAACAGGCACATGTTTCTCCCGTTTATGACAGTTTCTGGAATTTGGGATAAGCAGACTAAGAGATTACTTTTTCTGCTCCATGGAAGTAACTGACACTAAAAGGAAATAAAACCTGGCATTCTGTCCCAATTTATTTTCTCTTTTATCTTCCGCGGCTACCTGGCTCCCCATGGTGCTTTAGGACATGAGCAGGTTGGCTCGGAATGACAGCAATGGGTGAATAACTGTAAACTGAAGGAGGAATTCTGAAAAGGAAGTTCACAATTTTACTTTGAAAGTTGCTGAAGAAAGCTCAAGAGTTTGGAAAACTGGAAAGAATCAGCCTACTACTATGGGAAAAAGAGTGTAAATCTGTCAAAAGGTGTTGACCATGTTCATGATACTGAGAGTTTTAGGAGCATAATACTAAAGTTTTCTGTGATGATGATTATTATTAGGTTACAATCCCCTATGTGTTTTGACAAAAATGACTATAATCACCACCCCAAAATGCTTTATATTGTCTGAGTCCTCTAGTTATAAGAAGTCACTTCCCTAAGTAAAAGAAAATTTAGTTAGTTTATAAGATTAGTCTTTTTAAATAACAGTTCTTAGCATCATGACAGCGGGTAACATTTTTGCCAAGAGATGAAAAGGCAGATATTATCTGTTTATTTCAGTGGCCGAACTCTAAGGATGTCTCAAGTCAAAGACAAAGAGAAGTTGACATGAAACCTCCTGAAACACCCCTTTGGTGGCCCCGATCGGCAGTGGCTCCCTGCAGCCATTCCTCCCACGTGGATCTGGTGTGGCCCTGCCGCTTGCTTTGGTCAATGTGACAACAGCAAACGTGATATGAGCAGAGCCTTGAAAACACCTGTGCGGTGGGGCTTGTTCCCTTGCTGCTCTTGGAACCTTGCTGCACGTGAACAAGCCCAGGCTGGCCTGCTGGTTGATGAAGTGACACGTTACCCAGCGCTTGAGGTTGTAGGTTTTACTATTTTTCAAATATGAAAGGGCTAACAGATTAGGAGTTGCCCCTTTGAAAACACAGATCGTTATACTCATAGACCCCAACAGGAGGGAGCAGGCCGTGCTACAAGGGGGCACACAGGGAGGCACCAGGATTGGGCAGGAGGCAGAATGAGGGAAGGAAAAGACGGGCAAGAGCCTTTATTGTGGTTTCTATGGGAAAGAATGGTTGAAGCATCATAAGCAAATTTAGGGTTGGCTAGTTTGAATCAGTCAGCTGACTCTGGGGTGTAGGGACTATCCTCAGTGGTCTGGCGTGTGGTGTTGATGTGAGAGCAGGTGGGTGAGAGCCTGATAAAGGCTGTTGTTGGGATATGGCTCTGGACTAGCTGTATGAAAGGCATGTATGCAGGTGAGTTTTCTATCTCTAAGAATTAGCTAGCCCTGGGAGGGGCGGCCCCTTCAGAGTCAACAAGGTCCCAAGGTGTCAAAGCGTCAGACAACCAAACAAATAAAAAGGTGTGGCTAATACACCAGCCATCCCCCTTACCTCTGTCCATAGTCAGCAACCTTCCAGACGGGTCTAGGTAATTTTCCCATAAACATCTTTGTCACAAGTGTGTTTGCTGCAAACATTTTCGTCGCACAACTAATTGGCCATAAGGCAATTTTGCCATAGAAGATAAAATAGCTGGTTGACAGTCTGGTTTGCATTTGGCAGACTTCATGCATTGTCAGTGTGGTTCCATTCTCCATTGACGGGGTTCTCTCAGTCCTCTCATTTGTATTTTATATAAATCGTAGCCCTCCTAAGGGTCTATATCATGACCAGTAGATGTGGTTGCATTAAAATAGTGGATGGGAACAACTATGAATAAAGCAGATTGCAAAGCTACGTGGAAGGCCAGATAACATGCCAAACTAGAAAATGATCACATAGCAGTTTTTGCAAATCCTTCTGTGAGCACAGTCATCCCTCTCACCCATCAAAAGTTTACCGAGCTGTGTACGGCAAACACAAAAGAGGCAGCTGCTAATTCACAAATCTTCCAGAGCATTAATGATCAACTCTTTAGGTAGAAACTGATACCTCTTTTAAATTTTTTCTTATTTATTGATTTTTTAGAGAGAAAGGAAAGGAGAGAGAGAAAAATGGGGGGACATCAATTTTGTTGTTCCACTTACTGATGCATTCATTGGTTGATTCTTGTATGTGCCCTGAGTGGGAATTGAACCCAAAACGTTGGCGTATTGGGACAACACTCTAACCAACTGAGCTGTTTGGCCAAGGCTGATACCTCTTTTAATAAAAGAAGAAATGTAGCGAAAAAGAGAAAAGTGCAATGCCAAAAGAGGAGACAAATCCATAAGCAAAAAAAAAAAAGGTATAATACAGTGAACAGAAAACTTCAAAGACAATTTATTTTCATTTTTCTCAGTAAGATTTTTAACTTTGTTATTAATGTTTTCATGTTTCATTATTTCTTTTTTAATGTTCCTCTTTTATTTTTTGTTATTTCATCTTTTACCATGAATTGCCTTATGGCCAATTACTTATGCGGCAGACATGCTTGCAGCAAAGATGTTTATTGCAAAACTACAGGACATGCTTCCAAATATGCGAGTGAGGC